CATGATTCTCCCTGAAAGATTTGCGGGTATTCTTTTTCCATATAATATCCTTACCTATCTTTCTTAATGTTTAATTTGCTTAACGGACCTTGCGATATAAATTTTAGCCTATGTGATGCTGATGAATATTTAATATTGAATGAGAGGGGTATTCCGGTAGGTGAATAAAAATTTATCTATTTCTTTTCGAATTATTCATAGAAAATTTTTTTTAAAGTTTGTACAAAAATCTTTCAACTTCTTGTTTCGATCTGGTTATAAGTCCATATATAAATTTGTTTCATGAATAAGATTTTACAATATTCTTTAAACCTTAAAATGGGGGTCCATTAACGGTCACTATTGATCCAGGTTCTGAATATCCCAAATTATTTGTCCAGGTATTGTATAGTTCCTATACTATTTATTTGAACTGGCTAACTTTATTTCTCTAGTCATTTGGTATAACCATCTAATTGTTAGCCCATAATTTTTTATTGGAAAGGTCCTGCAAAATCAAGATGTATTCTTGTCAACTTTCTTTCATTTCGCTAAGTCGATCTAATCGGGTTTTTTTTTAAATTTCCATAACTTTGACATATTTTACATTTTACTACAAATTTTGCAATATTATTATTTACTATTGATTGTTATACGAAAATCCTTAAAATTATAAATCCTCCCCTATTTTCAAAATGGGAATTATGGATGCCGTTATTCAAGAATATATCATTTTTCAATTATTTTTAATAACAAGAAAATTTCTTTTTAAAGTTTATTCTCTCTTTCAATGTAATTAACCGTCCCTAAATGTTCAATACTATACAGGCTTAATAATGCTTAGGATAATTTTTAAATGATCTTGATTAATTATATTTTTTCCCGGTATTTACAATAAAAAAATTTAAAAACATATCTTTTATTATTAATAATTTATTTTCTAATACCATGATTTTATATGATTTTAAAATAATATTCGTCTTTTATACATGGATATTAAATTCAAAGTTTGTCTATTTAACAGAGAAACGGCGGCTCCGATCTCCTAAAAATACAATAGGTCCCATTATAATGCAGAATTTTTAATTTAATATTATTTACATCACATCTCCTATTTCTTTGTCCCACCACTTCCACTATGTGTATTATATTATCTAATCCTTTTCTACCGATAAACATTTGATAGACGTCCTTTAACTCATTCCACATTTTATAAAACGCTAGAAATTTTAATCCGCACAATTCTTCCATATGAATCTTTCTTTCGCAATAGTTACACCATTGTGTTCATCTTTTAGAAATTTAAATCTTTCATTTTTGGTTCTCTTTTAACTTGTTAATATTTTTGTTTTAAAAACTGCATCATGTTTTATTTAAAATAAAACTACAATTTTAATCTTTAAAAGTTATCTATATATATATTAGAGATCAGCAAAACCGGCCTTAAGCCAGGCCCGACCCAGATACAAGGGCCGGCTAGTATTTCACATTTTTAAAATATACCCAGAATATTTAAATTTAAAAAAATATATTTTGGGCCAGGCCTTATATTTTAAAACTTTTTTGAATAGTTATTATTGGTTATAAATTATAAATAAATACTGGGCCGGGCCTAAAATTAAAAAAAAAATCCGGAGAGGGCCTTGCAAATTTTGCAGGCCTCTTGATATATATCTATTGTTAAAATGGAGATAGTAAATATAAAATAAAGGATTAAACCTGTCCCATATAATTATGATGTAAAACTGCTGCATGACTTCATAACGAAAATAAAAAGGGTTTAAACGAAAAGTAAAGAAAATATTCGACTGCAACATCTTATATTTGATGCCAATTTATAATTGTTCCTGAGAGGTCTTAAATTTAATTTCATAAGTATAAGCCATTATTGTATTATCTACCTATAAATTAAAGTTAATTAAATTTTTTTAACCTAAATTTGAGGTGGATACTAAAAAATTTTTATGACTCGATCTAGAGATTAGTCATTTTTTTTTTAAAAAAATCAATCTAAAGGTTCCCCTTTTCTTGGTATAATCTCTTTATTTAACACTATATTTTGTAAATTAAAAATCAAGCTTGAAAGCTTTGATTTTAATATTACCTTTTGTGTTGAGTCACATTTCTTTTATCATTAAATTGTAGCCCTATTTTTCAAAGTCTAACTTTGAAGTGGGTCTCTATTTGGTTAAACTTAAAGTATTAAATGAAGAAAAAAACGGAAAAAAGTAGGGAGAAAAAAAGAAATAGAGGGAAAACAAAAAGAAAAAACATGAAAAAAGAAAAGAAAAGAAAAAGTAAGAAAAAGGAACAAAAAGAAAGGATTTTCTAGGAAAATTAATAATATGTCTAAAATTATTTATTCATTATAAGAGAAAGAGCGAATGACATTTATTAAAAGCCTTTAAAGGTCTATACAGATATTCTCTCAGTGGGATATTACAAACAAATAACAATAAAAATCTACTACTCATGGACTAAAAAAATACAATTTATACAGATGTTTCAAAATACAAATCTAATTATAAAAGTCGTATAGCTTACCTTAAGTTACTAAGATGCGAAAAGTTTTTTTTTGATGTTTAATGCAAAATTATATAAAAAATGAATTAAATTATCACAATATTTATATATTTAATGTTTTATTTCGTGAAAAAAACATTTCTTCTCTTCTCTTCCCCTCTATTTGTTTTTCTTTTAACATTAAAACTTTTTATAATTATTTTTTATATAAAAAGAAACAAAACAACTATAGGCTCAACAAATTCACTGATAACATTTAATAAAGAAAAACTATCAGTTGAGAAAGGATATTTTGATATTATACAATTAACCTTTTATTTTTATTTTTTCTAGGTAAAATTAAATTCTCGTTTATTTTTATTGTAGTAAACATATTTGTTAACAGTGGCGTCGCTACAGGGGGCTCGAGCCCCCTGAAAAATTTGAAAAGTCCCTGAAGCAAAAAAATTTTATTTTAATGGCTCCTTAATATGCCCTTAAACTAAAAATATATTTTTTTGATTGCCCACTGAATGATTTCTTTTATAATTATATTGAGTAATATATAGATTTAATTTTATAATTTAAAAATTAATAAGTCTATCTAAATTATTCTTAAATTAATACTATTTTAATTATTAGATTAGATTAATACTAATAAATTATATTTTCTCTATGTCAGCTTGCTAATCTCACTAAATATTAATTTAGCTTTAACAGTTGAAGTTTTTGACTTTTATTATTTAAATTATTAAACCCTAATTTAATAAATATTAATTTTAATATTGTAATTAGCCGAGTTCAAAATCACTATTCAATTATATTATTGATATTTAAATTTACTTCTATGCCTCTTCTTAAAATTATTTTCAAGGTCCAAATCCAAATTAGTATAAGAGATTTATTTATAAAAAGTAAGTAAACATATAGTTTATAATCCTCTATTAGATATAATTAATTATAAAATATTAGGTTAAATACCACTTTTATAGACGTATTTGACAGTTATATAATATATTACAGTTAATATTTTTATAAATTTTACTAATAAATGCTTTTGATAATAATTATAAAATATAAATGCTTTTAAATATTTAACGCCATCTATTTATTTTAAAATATTTTTAAAATTTAACATCTTTTTATTTATTTAAGAATGGATGTAATAAATTAGATAACTTTTCTTCTCTTTTTCACGTGGAAAGCTATTTTTTTCTTATTTGAAAAACAGTGAGTTAAATTTTTAATACTAGTTTTTTTTTGATATTATTACAAACTAATACTATTTTAAGATATAATATACCAACTAGAGGTGGTGCGAATATATATAAAATCTTAATTCATTTCTTTTATCATATCACTCTGTTTCTTATTTTATAGTTACAAAATGTTTCATTTATAATATGGCATCCCTGCCTTGTAAATAATTTAAGGCTTCCATACATTCACATAATTTCTTCTAAAGATTTTTAAGTTTTGTTTTATCAATTTATCTAGCATAATGAATTCTGATATAAGTTAATGTCATGGCTATGACTGCAAATTAACCAGCATCTATTATTTGTGTGGCTATGTAATTTAAAATTATTATTACAGCTGGTGAGAGCATATGATTGCATATTTTATAAGCAATAATGGTCAACTATGTAGTTGTTTATATATCATTAAAAATGGAAGATCTTTTTGAAATTTAATATCTCACAATTTTTTTCTCAACATGTCATTTAAGAGGAAGCTCTAACCACCATATAGTTTTATGATTTTAATTGGTCGTTTTAATTATCTTCTCCAAGAATTGTTGATTTGTTTAGGCCTATAAACCTTGTTAGTCCATTCTATAAAAAATTGTTTAAAAATTGTAACAGAATGTTATATTAGTTTCTTGACCCTTTGTCAATGTAAGTTGCTAATTTTATAATATGTAGTTTTTTATAACCATTATCAATTGAGTGTATGAATTAATTAACCTTTTTTTATCACTTGTAATTCTTTAGACACAAATTTTTTTTTTACATCAGCAATCGAAAATATTTTATACTGTAATAAATAATTTTTTATTAAAAAATAATATTTTTTTGTTTTAATTTATATGCTAGTTTATTTTGTACGCATAATATAATAAATGACAAAATATGAAATTCAGAATAATTATTCAGAGTTCGCAAATTTTAAAGAGTAAAATATATTAATATAAAAACTGACCCGCTAAGGGGGTATGGGGCGAAACCCCTCATAAAAATTTTTTTAGTTGAGTCCCCTGAGATTGTAAAGGCTAGCGACGCCCCTGTTTGTTAATTATAAGAAATAAAATTAAAAAAAGTTGAATGTACTAAATAAAAGTAAAATCATGTAATATAATAAAATAAAATAAAATATTTTTTTTATTTTTACTTGCAGTTTAATTTATCCAAGAGTTGGGAAAAGTCACAGGGTGCAGCCAAACTCTTGTATCTAACTTACATTTATTTCTTTGGACCTATTAAAATCCTTTAAGGGTTGATTATTGGAGAATACTCCAGATGGCTGGAGATTCACGGTTAAAACATTAATACCGTTGCTAATATAAATGAATTATATAAAGTTATTTTCTAGAATCTGTTATCCAGTAGAATTGGTATTGCATAATGGACCAGCTTTTAGGTCTTATGAATTTAAATTTTTTTGGAAATAAGGGTATTTTTTATATTTTTACTGCGCTTCACTCGCCTCTAAATGAATGGCGAAGAGGACTCTATGCAAGCAAAATAGGTTATAAATATGGGGGTTGGGATAAGCTAATGTTAACAGATATTTTATTATAATTTCGCAATTCTGAGCATTCGATAACAAAATTTCTTTCTGCAAATAGATTGTTGGATAGGGAATTGTGGAAATGGAGTTTGTTAGAGAATAATGATTGTGATGTGAAGCATGATTTTAATATAATAGGTAACTATGTTTTGAGTGGGCAAATCAAGATTAGCATGAGTAGAGAACTGCACGGGCTGTCCGTAGCCCGACCCGGTTAAAATATTTAATCCTCACATAAGAATATAACAGTTTTAAAAGTCAGAATTTCATTTAACCCTGACTTGAAATTAGTATAAATATCATGATTTTATATGGGTAGTGAATCGAACTATCTAATTAGGTCCTTATTTGATAGTCTTCCTGATAGTTGATAAATAAATATATATATACTTAATAAAAAAAAATTATAGCCCCAAATCAAGGACTTGTGCAACCTTGATTTTACGAGGCGCTAATGACACCATGCTCGATGAAGTTGAAAGGTCGGTCCACGATGCCTTGTGCGTTGTCAATAGAGTCCTGGAATCGAAATCGGTCGTGGCGGGTGGCGGAGCCGTTGAAACGGCAGTTTCCATCTATTTGGAACACTTTGCTACTTCTATCGTAAGAAACGTTTCAATATATAATGTCTTTTTGTCACACGCACTTGTAGAGTATGTATGAGAAATGAGTGTTATAACATGTAAAGAAGATAGTGAGTTACGAATATTTAGGTAGTGTAAGGATTACTACATTATTGCTCAACCTATTGCCCTCATTTTTTTGGTCTTACTTAATCCATCTACTACAATGAAGAAATTCAATCCGTTCTGTCCCATCGAACATTCTTTGGATGGAACGAGTCGAATGACGTTTTACTTATGATAGTATGCACCACCAATCTTCTCGAATTTATCTTCTATTCCAATAATCCTAAAATTTTTATTTATATTCCATTTATTTTCTTATTTATTATAAAAAAAATATTCTTTGATACATTTAAATTATTTGATTTAGCTGAGCTATATGGAAAACGATGTTTTTATTTATTAATAAACTTAAGAAAATAAGAATTGAATTATATATACTATAATTTTTTTTCTTATATATATAATATTTTTTCAAACAAATGTATTATAGAGTAGCAGGGAACAATTAGCCATAGCGGAATTCGCCAAGGCTTTACTCGCCATCCCCAAAACATTAGCTTCTAATGCAGCCCTCGATGCTACTGACCTTATAGCTAAGTTGCGCGCCCATCACAATAATTCTCAAACTAAAACGGAACAAAACCAATGGAAATGGTTTTAACATCATATATTTTTTTTAAAAAAATACACCTTATAAATATAAATAGAAAATATGAAAGTGGTCTAATTCTTCAAAATGATTGGTTCTCACTCGCAGAAGTATAATGCATCTGGTTAGGAATGGTTTGGAGGCAGAAATAGAATTGGTTTCTTTGGATAAAGTGTTTTTACAACTTTAAAAATTAAAATTGTGTATATGATGGTAGGAAAATTTGTGATAAAAATAATAAGGCATTGTAATTTATTTTTTCAAAAAATGGAAGAAATGTTACCTAAAACTAATTAACTAGAATTTTAACAAATTTGTATAAATCAAAATGCTTTTATATTTGAAAGGCCTTTTTTTTATAAAGGGGAGTCATGAAAATAACCATATGCTTTATACTTTTGCATTTTTTTAGAGGTATTTTTTCTAAAACTCTTTTCTCTATATTTTCGCCATTATATCGCAAAAAGTATACATTTAAACTCCATCTTAATTATTATTATAACATAATATAAGGGCTGGACTTGACCTTTTAAACGGAACTATTAGGGATAACAGAGCAGCGGGCGTGCTCGAACCGGCCATGTCAAAGATAAAAAGCATTAAATTTGCCACCGAAGCGGCTATAACTATCCTCAGAATCGACGATTTGATCAAATTAAACCCAGATAAGCCCGATCACAAATACCCCGGCGCTGATCATATGGAATATTAAATGCTTCGAAGATTGTTACTATAAATCCAAAACATTTTTTTTTGTAATTATTATTAGCTGTTTTATGAAGTTTTCTTAAATTTAACTCAATGGATTGTAAATTATTTTTGCATGAACATTATTTTGTTCACTCATAATATTTGTGATAAGAACATACAATTACAATTTCTTTTAACTTTTAATAATCATCCATGTGACTTGTGTATGCGTCTATTTTTCGCTTATTACTGCCGTTTATATTTGCATATAATTAAAATATTTCTAAAAATAATCAAGTTCCTTATTAAAAACGTATGTTGTCCCAATTCATTAAGTGTGTACTGAGGTTAATTTTAAGTTAAAATATGGCCTTTTGATGATTTCTTAATATTTTTTATATTTAATTTATTTTCAAGTGTGTTGTGATATATTTTAAACACAATTATTGGCTCATAATATGACTTAGGACTTTATTAACACATTTCTATAAAGGGAGATAATGAATGATCAAAATTCACATCATGGAACAATAATAACTTAAACGCTCACATTTTATTAAAATAAAAGGTACACATTCATTTTTTAAAAATATAAATTAACTCCAAATCATATCTGTCGTTAGATTTTGGCTGGAGTTCCCTTCAGAATGAAAGTTTTTGTCTCCTGTTTCTTCTTTTCACTCGAGGTCTGTTCACTTGGCATTCAAAAAATAGCAATTATATATTATATATATACTGATAATTCACAGATCTGCCCCTGTCGTAAAAATAAAAAAATCATATAAAAAGATATCGCGCCCGACCCTCATTATCACTCTAGATTTTAAGTTGCAATCCTGCAAGTGAAAAGGTTAGTTTTAACATAGATCTTACTAAATATTCTACCAAATTCTTTTTTTAAGATCAATAATTAAAAAAATATATATGTAAGACCTTAAAGTTATAATTTTTTTTTTCATTTAAAAATCCTTCATTAAAAAACGGCTAACTCAATATTTTACCGAGAAAAAATAGGCAAGCATAAAAATTTTGCTCATATGTGGCAGAGATTCGGACATCTATTAGCGAAATCTCTAAACATCAGGCAATATTTTTCTGGCTAAAATAATTTAGTTAGCAGTTTTTAAAAATCGGCAATCAAGCCATTGAACAACACTATCTTTTATAGGAAGATTCTAGATTTTTGCTCATCCTTATCCATGGGGTTATGTTAAATTATTTCTATGAGGAATGCCATTTTTTGAGTATTCTTTTTTTTCTTTCTAATTTAAATTCATTATTTTTTGATTAGAGTTTTTTGAACACCAATCAAACCGGAATCAAGTCCATTTTACATAACCCACCTTGATCCAAACTGAATTCACGATTTTGATATAAGTTAAACTTGAACCAATGACCAAGATTTTCGTAGATTCAAAGCTCTGGTTAAATCCCAAAATTTGATAGGGGTATTAAATGGTAGTTAGAATTTTTTGACTCTAATGTTAATTATCGCTTTAAGTGGGTGAGTTTAGGTCTTGGAGGGATCAGAATAATTTTTTAAGTCATTAAAATTCAATATGGGTATCAAATGAAAGCTAATTAAAATATCCCTTTGACTGAAATAATAGTATTCACTCTTGGTCTCAATAAGTGGAGCTTGGCCTGGTGGGGGGGGGGTTAGTTTTAACATAACAGTTCGACATGGATATCAAAAAAGAATAAAATATTTTTTGATTGTAATGTTAATTATCAATCAAAGTCAGAATTGCGAATTTTATATAACAAATATTTAATATGGGGTGTTAAATGAAAGCTAGCAAATATATCATTTGATGTAATGATACTATTCACATTTGGTTTTAAATGAAAGCTAGCAAAATTTACATTTGGTTTTAAATGGGTGAGACCTGGTTTTGGGGGTGTGGTTTTGGGGGATTAAAACATACAAATTTAATATGGATTATGGGTATCAAATAAAAGGTAATTAAATTAATATTAACCATTGCTCTAAATAAATGGGTTTAGATTTTGGTTGGTTAGGAATTGATAAAAATTTTTGATAAATTTTTTTTAAAATTATCAAATGAAAACTAATTTTAACATCATATGATTGCATTAATAGTCTTCAATCTTGATTTAACTGGGTAAGAATAGTTAGTCTTGGGTGGAGTTAGAGATGGTTATAAAATAAAAATTTGATCCGGATATTAAAATGATGGTTAATTTATATATTTTTTGAATGACTGGTCAAGGGGCTAAGTGGCCATATACATATATACAATCGATTAATTTAGTTTTATAAATAATGATTATTATCTGTATCAGACCTGCAAGAGGTACTATTTTCACGACCCGACCCGTTTTCGAAAAATTTTTTCAGGCCGGTCCCGGGTTTTCTTTTTTTTCAGACGCGAACCGGATTTTAAAAAAAAATATATATGTATTAAAAAAATTTCAAATCCGGCCCGACCAGGGTATATTTAAAATATTTATAAACAGCAAATACTCTTGATTCAAGCCTCTTACCGGAAAAGAATTTTGGTCGAGTTTGGGTTCAGATTAGGTGAATATAACGGATTAGGTCGTATGAACGTAATAAATATATTCGATATCGTTATCCTCAATATTAGTTGTATGACCCAGTCAATTATTTGAGGTAATAATCAGAGTTGCTAAAATCCTGTATCTAGATACAAGTATCTACATCCTGTATCTAGATATAAAAATGTGGTATCTGTATCTGTATCTAGATAGATTTTTGATTAAAATATCTGTATCTAGATATTATTTTAGACGATGTATCTGTATCTAGATCCATTTAAAAAGTATCTTTTAGCAACTCTGGTAATAATGAATAATTTTGGCATTATATATTTGAATTTACATCGTATTATATGTGAGTCGATTATGAATTTCATTGAAAAAATAAAATAAAAATGGAATAGGAATGATTTACTTGTGAAAAGAATGAACGATAATCTTTAGGACGGAAAATCCTATGAGGTTTGGGTAACAAGGAATTCAGGATTTCTGTGTAATCACTTCATAAAAACAATTGAGTATTTAGAAAAAATATTTTAATTACTTAATGTCATTTTCAACTTAATTCAAATTTATTAGAGCGATCGTTTTGAATAAAGCCTATGGAAATGCGTTTAAAAATATGAAATTATCACCACAGTCAAAACGTGATGATACAATTTCCTTAACCTTATAAAATTCTTAAAGGGATTTCTTAAAATACCATGAAGTCTTTTCCTAGATATTTCTGCCCTTTAAAAATTGAGATATATATATAATATATCGGATCAATAGAATTTTAAATATTATATATATAATAAATTTTTTTAAAAAAATCTAATTTTTGTATTTAAATATTTAATATTCCTTTAAACTAAGAGTATATCGAACGATTTTAAAATTTAACTGATAAGCTGGTAACAAAATACATTTTTTTTTTAAACGAATGTATTTTATAGCTTTAATCGAATACATCAAAGTAATTTCTGTGCTCAACGCTGTAAGTAATAATATAATTTCTCCAAATCATAATGTAATTGATTACGAAAAAATAATTTTATGATTCCATCTCTCTCCTAAAACGTAAACATACATCGTGAAGGAAAAAAAAATTTACAAAATAAATTCAAAAATGTGTTATAAAAAAAAATTAGAAATTAAAGATTCTTAAAACATGCCTGTTGTTGGTTAAAAAAATAACATTCAGCTCAACTTTTAAACCTTCCTTTTTTTTCTTTCCAAATTATAATAATAAAAGAGAGGTTAATGATGCTTACTACCAAGTGAATGTATGGAAATATTCTAAAAACCAACCTAATTTGCTAAATACCAACCAAAATTTATTAAAATGTAATAAGACCCTTATTATTTAATATATGATAACGGAATCACGTGGTCGAGTCCGGCCCACCAAATTATCATGACATATTTTATATAATGGCAAATCATTTTTTTTATAATAAATTAAATACCAATCACAATATTTAAAATTTTATTCTTTTTTTTTATTACCTTAAATCATTAATGTAAATATTAAATACCGGATATGATAATAAGTATCATAATAATTAAAATAATATATAAAAACTTAAACTGTTTTTTTTTAAAAAAAAATTTATAAATTATTTATTATTAACGCTTGAGCATAAAAATATCCTAATTATTATTATTTTTAAAAGGCGAAAATTATAAAAAATATAATCGAAAAATATTTTTTTTTTTTGAAAGCTCTTTTCCTTTCCCCCTTCTCTTTACTTTTTTAACCTTTTAAAAATACGAATATATCGGATGACAATTACTGAGTTGTCGTATATATATATATATACAATGAAATGTATAAATCGTCTAAATTGAGTGGGAAAAATTTTGAATTTTGAATCTTGAAATGGAAATATTATCGTTACTTTTATTACGCGTGTGTCACCTAATCCATCTATTCAATTAATTAAACACTTAAAAAAAATAACAAGATATAGCAATTTAATAATTTCAAGGATAAAATTTTATTATAATCATTGAATATATTCACCCCTTTGGTGACCCCCCCCCCCCTTTAACCGTAAATTTGATTTGAGAAAAGAAACTGCTTTTCAAACTTGGAATATTGCCCACTTAACCAACTCTCTATATATGACGAGGTCCATTTTCAAAAATTGATATTTGTTATTTGGATATTAAGGATAACCCAATGGTTAACCTGCTTTTTTTTTCATATATAAAAACCTAACTCGTCAATGGCTCTTAAACCTCCTATGATCCTCTGAAGAAAATCGCCCACCTCCTCATTTCTCCCAAAAAGTAACTCCACTTCAGCTGCATTAAATGTCACGTGACTGTTGTGGACGCCGTGTGTTCATACCTTCTAATGGCAGATTTCAATGAATGTATGCTTCTTTTTTTTTTAAGAAAAGAAAGAAAGAATTTTGATGAGCAAATCAAATTAAATTGTAATAAATTATTGTATTATTAGGCAAATTTTAGGTAGGGCACTGAGACCGCTACATAATGTATTTCATAATATTATAAAAAAAATTTATAAGATAAATTTACAACTTCCTGTGTTGTTTTGACGATTCCTATGATTCTAACCTTCTAGTTCATATAAATTTATAAAACACCACAACCTGTTTAGAATTTTCCAGCTGTTACTTATTTCGAAACCTTTTATTTATTTGATAAAAGTCTTGTCTGCCACTTAAATCAAAATTTGTTTCTATATCATGAATGTAGACGTCCACACATTTTCCGGATATGATCCATTTGTCGTTTCTTCTAACGGGAAATGGGATGGATGCGTAATAATTGATTTATATATTTTTTTTTGTTTGATTATTTCTATTGACATTTTTGAACTGTAAATAACTTTAAAAAAAGAATATAATGAATGAAAAGTATTAAAATTGAAAATAATGGTATTATCAGATAGTTGCAAAAATTTTATTAAATAAAACATGCACCTTCCTTGAAAATTTAATTTAGCATTTTGCTTTGTATTCACTCCATTCGGTTGCAGGAGTTCGCTGAACATTAGTGTTGTTCAACGGCTCATCTTGAGCCGATGTTTATAAACGGCTAACTCAGTATTTTATTAGGAAAATTATGCAAGTCTTAAGATTTTGCTCATAGGTGGCACAAAGGATTGAACATCTACTAACGAAATCTCTAGGGTCAGACAATATTTTTCTGGCTAAAATATTGAGTTAATCGTCTTTAAAAATCGGCTAAATCTAACCATTTAACAACGTCTGAAAGTTCATATCACTATGATCAAAAATATACTATTAAAATGTGGACTGGTTTCAAATATTTTGATTGGTCGAAAAATATAAGTCATGTTAAAATAAAAAAAAATTTAAGATTATAATTTTAATAAAATCGTAGTATTCTTGCGTTTTTTTAATCAAAAATATGATAAGGATACATTCAAAAAAAAAATAGATACATAAATGTAAAAAGTCAAGCATAATCAAATAGCATTCTGAAAATAAATGCATAAAGTATGATTCTAGATCAATTATCTTTGCTTTAGTGGAATCAGGTGGAGGATTTCACTGAATGAACTCCGAATATAATAAATACTAAATTTGATTGGACAAAAAAAAATACCCTAATTTCTATATAAGATTACTGGGATAGGAACCAACAAAAATTTGATCATGCAAGAACAGATGTTAAATGAACTTTTAAATATGAATATTTTTTACGAATGACCATTCATTAGGAATACACTAATAAAATATTTTATCTTATCTTGGGAAATGAGTGTTGTCAGAATTTTAATTGGCAGATGTCTTATTTTCTTAATTCATAAAAAAGACAGATTCTTTTTAGTATCTGCATTAGGCCTTTAAGGCAATGATACGCGATAATTCACAATAAATAATAATATATTCACTAAATGGCATCAAGAGTAGCTAGTAAAAATGATATATAAAATAATAATAATAATTAATAATAATAATTAATAATAATATTAATAATAATTAATAATAATAGTTATAATAAAAAAGATAAAGTAACGAGTAACGAAAAAGTTATTCGTTACTTTTTTGAAATAATAATGCCGTCACCAATTTTTTTTATATAAGGAAAGAAGGAAAGAAGGAAAGAAGGAAAGAAGGAAAGAAGGAAAGAAGGAAAGAAGGAAAGAAGGAAGGAAGGATGGAAGGAAGGAAGGATGGAAGGAAGTAAGGAAGGAAGGAAGGAAGGAAGGAAGGAAGGAAGGAAGGAAGGAAGGAAGGAAGGAAGGAAGGAAGGAAGGAAGGAAGGAAGGAAGGAAGGAAGGAAGGAAGGAAGGAAGGAAGGAAGGAAGGAAGGAAGGAAGGAAGGAAGGAAGGAAGGAAGGAAGGAAGGAAGGAAGGAAGGAAGGAAGGAAGGAAAAGAGATAATATAATTTGAAAATTAAATAAGATAACCGAATAACTCTCTACAAATTAAAACGATATACCATGGTTGTAACTTTAAAAAAGAATCCTTGTAAATTATTAGAACTTGTGATGTTCAATTATTAATTATAAGATAAAATAAATATCATAAAAACAAGAAAAATACTAAATTTTTCCACCCTTTTTCAACTTAATAGCGAAATCTAATAACTAACTTATCCTTCCAAACTTTCTGAGCTATTTACATTTTAAGCATCGAAGCCCGGAATTCCAAATCAATAAAATAATCAAAATCCATAATATTATTGAAAAAATAATTGCAAATCAATGTTTTAACTTTTTTAAGAAATCTACAATCTCCTATATCCTCTCTAAAAATATTAAATTATATTAAAAATGGATTATGAAAGTATATAAAAATTTTCATTTGACATTTTATAATGTTATAGATAGATTTGAACACTTATTAACCTAAAACAAATAAAAAAAATGAACAATATTTTAGTTAAAATATTTTAAGTTTTTTTTTAAAATTTCAATTTAAAAATATATAATTTCAAAATATTTTTATAAAAATTTGATTTTTGAAATAAATTTTTTTTTTTTTGTTTTTTGTTGAATAAGCAGAATTATTAAATCTTTTTTTTCCAGGAGGGAAAAAGGAGAAAAGTAAGAAATCATTTAAACAAAAGTAAGAATTAGATGATATATAAAGTAATTGGACAGACTGCTATAACCAAATTATTCCTAATTAGAAAACCGGGGGTATCACTATAGCATTTACTATCTCAGGGAAGGATCTTCTAATTTTTCAGGGGACTCCAACCTCTGAGCACTCCCCTCCCCTCTTCCAACCCTAGTGACGCTTACAGATTAAAAAAAGATGATATAAGTGGTTGTTTTTTTACTTTAGAAAAACAATTTAAAAATCTTAATTTTCGAAATTATCATTACCTAGTGTTGTTAAACGGCTCGTTTTGTTCAGATTTTCAAAAACGGTCAACGCCTGATTTTGCTTCTAGAAGCAACAAAGGTTTGGATTGGACATCTATCAGCCAAATCTCGCGACGTAGGCAATATTTTTTTCTGGGCTTAAATATTGAGTTAGCCGTTTTTAAAAAAATCGGCTCAAAACGAGTCGTTTTAAAACAATACTCATTTATTATTACCCTTTAAATAAACGATTTCTAAAAACAAAAATTTACGAATGTTTATGAACAAAAATTAAGCAAAATCAATATAATTATAAAATGAGCAAAAAATATAAGTTTATAGACATTTGTTAAAAACAAAAACTTAAATGAGCTTTATTTGCTTATATAAATATATAAATATCTAAAATGAGGAAGGTGTGGGAAATTATGACTATTATAAATTAGATACGATTTTAGAAGATGATAAATCACTTTATAATTATCGACGAAAAAAAATAAGAATATAATATATTCATTATATATAAAGAGATAAATTTCTAACAATAATACATAATACATAATAATTTTTTTTGAGGTGATAAGCCTATATAAAACATATTTAATTTTATTTCGTGTTATAATGGAAAAAACCTAAAACTCTCTTAAATATATCTTTTAATGATAGAAAAAGAGACTTATAATTCATTATAAAATTTAGCATTCGAAAAAACACAAAAAAATAATAATATATTAAACCCTCTTATTAATTATAAATTTAATTTCTGTATAAATAATGGTGAAGGCTAAGGATAAATTTTAATTTAAAAATCGGTAAAATAAAAAATTAGAAAAAAATTTCCGTTTATCCATGTTTGGTTAGAAATTTATAAAAGCACAGTTTTAAACATGATATTTCCCCAACTGTTTAAAAAATAAAATGTCAAACTAATTTTCAAAAAATTGAGGGCTAAAACATTCCATAAAATATAGGTTATCAAATTTATTTTTAAAAATTAAGCAACTTTTATAAGTAAAAAAAGGTCAATTTTTCAACCCTTCCAAGGATGAAAAGTCCTTTTGCGATCTACGGAATTCCTGTTGACGTTGTAATAATTTAGGAGATATCTTTCCACCTCATCTAGAACCTCCTTGGGCACATATTTTTTCCTGGAATAAATGTTAGGGCCGATCTCGCTGTAATTTTCCGAATCCGAATTTGAACCTCCGACAGTCAAGGCACCGAATTTTCTCTTATTTAGCTCGTTAGAAAGACCGGGTGCGCGGTAAATTTCCGATAGGGCCTTCAGCAAATAATACTTGGGGATGAGTGAGTCGTACCCGGACCTCTTGAGAATCGGGTTGGCTCGTTGTTCGTTGTTGTCGTTGAAATAATCGTTATCGTAATAATACTCTAGAGGTGGCTCTTGCGGAAGACCTTGGCCATCGTTGAAGAACGTAATTCGGGGACCGCTCACGAGATTGGTGGCCGCTTCTCTATTCGCGGCGACACTGGGATGCCCCTTCGGAAAACCCTGGACGCGTAACATTTCCTCCCAAGTAGATAGTACGGAGAAACATAGTAATAACGTTAATCGCTTCCTATCAAATTTGATTCGATGAAACATGATTCCAGAGAAAGGGATGATTGATATGTGGGAGACAGTTCTTTTAAAAAATCTTTAAAAAAAAATAATCCAACTTTAATATTAATAAGATTCAAATTTTGGATAGGAACCAATTTAAAAACTTTAATAAAAAAGGATGAATTAAAAACTATGCTTTACTATACACACGTTATTAACTGAGAAAAAATAATAAAAATGAAATATTGTAACTTTAAATAAAAATAAATACTTTGGACTTTTTGAACAGAGGATTGAAACTTATTATTATATGCAAATAATTTTGATAATATTATATTATATAAAAGTTCCTATCAAATTTTTAACTTTTAACAGAAAATATATCCCGAATATAATGCATAAATTAGATAAATAAATTGAAATAAAAAAAATTCATTTTAAGTATATTTAAATCAGTTTCTTTTACCACATTCAAAAAAAATGGCGGTATTCTTGAAAAGGACGAATAGAAAGGGGAGTGTAATCATCACGAATAATTTTCTATCCCTAAAAATTCTTATATGAAAACGTTTTAAGAATATTAAATAAATTTTTAGCTCTCTTCCTATATAAATTGCCGCAATATTTTTTCAAAAAAAATATTTTTCTCTTGACATTATAATTTATATAAAAATAATATCTAATAAAACAATATAAATCACACACAAAAAAAATCATAAAAAAAATCATTAAAAAAATTTCATTTTTTTTTGTGAAACAACCGTAAATATATTTTTTTAAATACCTTTTTTATTAAAAAATTGATTTATTTATGATATATATATATATATATACCTAATTTATTTGGAAAGGATATCGTTTAAAAAAGATTGGAAAAATTAAGGTAAAAAAAAATTTTTATTTTTTGAAAAGATATTTTAAAAACAAGAATTATGAAGCGTGGTTTTTTATTATGACAAAAGAATTATTTTATAAAAAAACTAAAAATAAAATAATAAAAAATTGATTAATTTTTTAATAATTAAATTTGTAAAAAACGTGAAAATATTTTTATATTTTATATTTGATATCGATTAATGAAAGGTATTATTTATTATTTATAGTTTTTCCTGATAATATAATGGACATTTTTATATTTTAGTTAACGTTACAGCTTAAACTTTTTCTTTTGTCAAATATTACAAATATTGTATAATATTTGACAAAATAAATGATATAATATTTTAATAAAAATATTTTTTTGCCTTAAAAAGTTATTAGACGCATCGGTAAAAAGGGGGGGGGGGGGGTCTTCAAAAACCCCCAAAACATAATACTAATTTGGGAGACCTATTAAATATAACTATCGATCAAAATTTGAATAGTTGCTGTTTGAGAGTGTTATCAAAATACTCCAAAGAATCCATTTAACAACAACCCGGTTCGGGTCTCGAAAATTGGCCCATATCCGGGTACGAGTCGAATAAAACCGACCCGAAGATAGAATTGGGGAGCACAAGCGAACACCTCGGGCGGACCGGTGAGGAAATGAGCCAGACCCAGAATTTTGAGCTCTGTTTAATATTGTAAACAGCGGACCCAGACCCAGAATTATGGGCTCTTTTCTGTTTAATATTCTAAAAGACTAGCGGTCTCAGGCCAAAGCCCGATCGGTAAAATTTTATTAAAAATAATGAAACCCTGAATAATTGCGAAATATTTGGGTATTCGATTTATCTTATATTTTAATTAAATTACAATTTCATTTTTCACTATCAGATGTAGTGTTCGTTAAACGGCTCGTTTTTCAATATTTTATCCGGTCTCGTAGAAGGAACAAAGGTCCAGTAGACATATTATTATCGAAATCTAGATGCTTAGGCAATATTCTAGCAGAGGTCTTAGAGGCATTCTTTTCTTAAAAATTTTTACTGAAATATTCCTCCACTACTTGCTGATCATTAATAAAGATAAGGGAGAAAATAAAGAAATATTAATGGTTAACTTCGCTATTGGTTTCTAGTTTTAAAAAAAAAATTAGCTCAGATTTAAGCCAAAGTAAATAATATATATATATATATAATAATATTCGATATTTTTAAAATTTTAAAATAATTTTTTTAAGTACCTTACCTCTCAATGCCCTGGTCTGGATTCGGACCGGGTTAATTTACCCGCAGCTGGAACAAATTAGCTGTGGTCCAAATCAAATCAAGGCTAGCCCAAATGAGTATTAGTCTCGGGTTCAAATGGGATAAATAAATAACAACTTCGCGATTCGAATTCACAAGAGCGCAGCCGGCTTAGGAACACTCAACAAAGTTTAAGCCGCCATTTTCTTACGACACTTCAATTTCGAGGTTCACACCCTTAACCGTCCGCCCACCCATTAGTCTAACCCGCCCGCCCATTATTTATAAAAATTTTTAGCCCAAGTCCACTTACAAAATTTAATAAGGGCCATTCTTTCAATTTTTTAAGTATCTAATAAAAATATTTCAGCATTACACCTCAACAAAAAGTTTATAATTTAGGAAATTAATTTAAGCATAAAAAAATATTATAATATAAAATTGATATTATATATATATATTTATAAATGCAAAAATAATAATAAATCGACATTTTCTGGATTCAAACACGTTCTTCTTTGTTCTAAAAACCTTCCAGCAATGCTAAATCTTTGTTCAGAAGAAGCACTAGTTGCAGGAATTGCCAATATTTTTCTTGCTAATCTTGATAGCTTTGGCAAATCTCTTGTCGTTTCCACCAAAGTAGGATATCTGTCTGAAGTATATCTTCTTCCTCAGGTGAGATCAGGATGTCCCGTATGCAATATATGTAAAACTCTTTTTCGAAGTGAGTACGAAGATTAATCTGCCATTGAACAATAAAATACCGTGCTATTCACGTAATCGTTTTATGCTATTCGGAATAGTAACAGAACAAAATACTATGCAGTTTTATAAGCCAGACCTCGAGTTAATATTAGAAACAGATGCATCTAACCAAGGATTTGGATTCATGCAAAAATTTGATAATGGTAACGAATTTCCAATAGCTTACACCTCAAGAACTTTACAAGACGCTCCTATAGACAAAGAAGCAAAAGCAATAATAAACGGCATAGAAAAATCTCACAACTATTTGTAAGGACGTAAATTTAAAATTTAAACAGACCACAAACCTTTAATAATGATATATGGTAATAACAGAGATTTAAGTTCATTAACAAATCAAAGATTATTGCGTCGGGCTTATAAATTATCTCCATATGATTATAATATAATGTACAAGAATAGCGCTAATAATTGTAATTGCAGATGCCATATTGCGAAACCCAATAGAGAAAAATGATGATAGAATAACAAGTGAAAATAAAACAGTGAAATATACAAGAAATCTTACTTATGACACATTAACTCTATCAAGAAAATGGTACAAATATACAATCATATTTACAAAGCTTTTAGAACAAGAATAGATGAAATAGAAAATTTTTGGAATTGGCAGATTAATCATTCCGTACTCACTTTCAAAAAAGAGTTTTGCATATATTGCATACGGGACATCCGGGTAATTACTACAATGTAATCCCCTTACGAGACATTATATATGGCGGGGAAAAATTAAATAAACATGTCGAAAAACTAGTAAAGTGTTCTTCACTTAAAGAAGAAAAAAAAAACTATTGGCACAATAAAAAAAAAAAGGAAATATTGTTATTGATCATAATTTAATTATGATATTCTTTACTTTGTTTTTGAACAAAAATTATAAATTTCCTTAACCCGCCCGCCCATAGTTTGAGATTTTTTTGGAAAAATAAAATTTTTTTTCGCAATAAATTTTATATTTTAAACTTTTCCATATATCAAATTGTTTTTTTTTTTTTATGAAAGTATTTCTCTATATTTAAAAAAAAAAAGAAAAGATAAAAATAAATATTTATGAATTATGAAGCCTTTTCCCTTTGTCTGTCTCATTAATTTATGGCGACTTTTACAGAGCTTCTTTCGGCATAGGCAAAAACAGGTGATTTTGAAATTCAACAAGTTGTTATTTATTTATCCCATTTGAAACCCGAACTAATATTCATTTGGGCTATCATTGATTTGATTTCGACCACAGCTAATTAAATACGAAACCAGAAAGGGCATCGATGTAAGGTAATTTAGATAAAAAAAACTATTTAAAAAACCACTTTTTGCAAATTCTAACATTTTGTTTTTTTTTGTCACCGCTTCTAGCACTCTCTTAATGCCTGAAAAATGATGTATTATGATTTAAATATTTTTTTTTAAATATGAATAAGAATGATTTTAAAAAAAACCCTATCCAAGCCTAGCCCGGTTTAAAAAAATTTCAAAATTAAAATCTGAGCCTGGACAGGGTCTAATTCGGCCCTATAATAAAAACAATAAATAAATCATTAAGCCTAGCCGATTCAAAAACCTAAATATATTATTTTATATTTTATTTTTTTAATTTCTCCTTTATGTTAATTATAATTTTAAATATTAATTAAATCAGTTATATATATATATATATACAAATGTTAGAAAATCGTTATGAAGGAGCATTTAAATCTTCATTTACTGTTAATAATTTTAAAAAATTTTTCTTTGAGAACTTATATTTTGCTGAAAAAATACAGCCAATTTATTAACAATAATAACAAAAATTTTAAGAATTTCCAAGGCGGAACGGAGCTGAAAAATTATGAAATGACAGTGAAGATTTTTTTCGAATCTGGTGCTGGACCTAATATTTTGTATTTAGTTATTTATTATAGTATATCACTATGTATATAGATTTAATCTTTAGGTAACATATCTTATAGGTTATAATTAATTAGAAAATGAAATCAAATATGTATATATATATATATAATATATATATACACTACTTAATATCTTCAACAAAGAAAATTTTTTTATATTTATTTTAACAACTTGGTTAGAAAAATCATTAAAGTCTAATTGTAATTAAATTTTTTTTCTTTCTCTGGAATGTAAAACTTTATTTGGTATTTAATATTAATATCATTTTATAATAATAATAATAATAAGAAGAAAAAAAAGGTATCTGAATTATTTTAATTAATTTTAAATTAAATATTGATTTTTGAAAAATTTAAACCTTTTGCAACTATTACTCTATAAATACATGAACATTTTTACTTATATATGTTAGCGGCAATGTGAGGTAGTGGTAGGCAATGTAAATGTGAGATTTCGGCAATGTGTTATTTTTGTAATATTATATTATTAATAATTTTGTTTTTATTATTAATAATTTTTTTAAGATTAAAATTTTATTTGATAATTTATATTATTTTTTTTAGATATAATAATATGTTTTTTAAATATATTATTTGATTGATATTTTTTTTTAAATATATTGAAATATATTATAATATATTTTAATTTGTTATATTAATTTTTTATATATTTTTTGATTGATATTTTTTATTATAATGGTTTTTTATGTTTTTTATTATAATGGTTTTTTATGTATTTATTTTTCAGGTAAATTTTTTCTTGATATATTTTTTGACTAAATATTTTTTTTATTTTTTGCTATATATTTTTTGTGTTATATTATTTTTTTAAATATATTTTTTGATTGATATTTTTTTTAAAATAATTTTAGATAATATATTTTAATTTGTTATATTATTTTTTATATATTTTTTGATTGATATTTTTTAATATAATGGTTTTTAATGTATTTATTTTTCACGTAAATTTTTTTCTTGATATATTTTTTGATATCTAAATTTTTTTTTATTTTTTGTGTTATATTATTTTTTTAAATATATTTTTTGATTGATATTTTTTTTAAAATAATTTTTAGATAATATATTTTAATTTGTTATATTATTTTTTTATATATTTTTTGATTGATATTTTTTAATATAATGGTTTTTTTATGTATTTATTTTTCACGTAAATTT